GAAAACCCAAAGTCCAGTCTTCTATCGTCGACAATCCATTGAAAGGATAACAACACAAACAAAGTTTCAGCTGGAAAAAGTCATGCTTAGCTGGAGATACTGGGAACACCACCCTCTGATACTGTATGAACAACATATCTTGACAAATCTGGATTGCCCCTGGGATTAATTTTGGATGCCCCAAGTTTACTGCTGATAAGTTGCGTGATGCACGACAATTCTTGCGAATAACTTCACTTCTAAAATGCCCCAAGCTATATGGTTGATGAGGAGAAATCGTCTCAAGAGGATTTTACAAAAGACCTGGCATTCACCATGCTCTGGTGTCTTCAAACTCTTAGAGGAATTCATCAAATCTCGACGTGATTGCCCCGAATTGACTGTAGTTGGCACAACAAAGTCTTCAACTTTTGCCCCAATAAAGGGTAAACAAGTTGGGAAAGCATTAACTGGGAGAAGCAACATGTTCGTGCTTACGGTCTTCAGGTGACATGCCCCTGGATATGATTTTTTTCTTGACGTGATCCGCCAATTACTCAACATAGTTTCAGTCCTTAAAAGAATAAACTCATCACTGGTGCTTATGTGAGCCTCCTTGATATCAAACAAATGTTTTGCAGTTAGAAAAAGTTTACAATGAGAATGAAAATTCTAATGCAACAGTTATGTAAGTCTTAAAGATTTTGAAAGATATCGCACAAATTTTGCGAGTTAAAGCACCATTTATCTTTGTATAGGAAAAACATATGATACCAACATAACTATTTAGAACATTCATGGGAGTTAGGAACACTATCTCATTGAAGTATGCTTTCAAAATAACCTTGCTTCAATTAGGACTTTTGAAGGTTGTAACGTGGCCTGGTTCACGGTTTTTTAGAAAAAAGATTTTAAGGCTCAAAATATTTGGTGCCCACCCATTCTTCATGATGTTCTCCAACCCTATGTTCAGTTAATTCAACATGAGTGTTCATCTCTCAAAAGAATTTTGTGACGGTCAAGGAAACGACGAGGCTTTCGGAGTAGAAACCGCCCTCATGTCTTCGTGTTTGTAGTCACCAATTTGTTCTTTGCTGAGGACTTTTCTTTGCAGTCCTTTTCTTTGCAATTTTTATTTTCCCTAACTTTTTCCTGAACTAATTCTTTTGAATTGATAGTCCAGCGGGATGCCTTAATTTTGCCTAAGTCACACGTTTTCATGTTTTTTGACTTAGCAGGCTTTTTCTTTTTCTCGATTTTTGACATTTTGAACAAAATGTGTGACATTAGCTTGTCTTTGTTTGTTGAGAGGATTGTGATTGCCTCGTTTCTTGATGAATGAGGGATAACATTGTTGTTCCAACCTCTAGATTCATTATACATGAAGGATAGCCCTCGTAGTTTCTCTTCAAAAAACATCTTCCTTATGAATTTTGAACACTCAGTCAGATTAACTAAAAACTACCCTGCCCCAGGTTAAAATTCAAGGTTTTTTCGTATAGAAAAGAAACTTCTGCTTCAAAGGCTCAAAAGGGGTTAGCGAGGGATTATCTTCCTTATATCTCCGGTGTTTAGGGATTTGAAACAATGCCTGTACATCATCAGCAAGATTTTATCCAAAAGCAAACAACCAGAGATTTTGTGTTCTTTAGATCATCACCCTCCCTTCAATCTCTGCCTAGGCAAGAGAATGGGCAACAAGTTGGTATCATAATGCCAAAAGAAATTTAAAATTTGAAAACAAATATGAGTGAAACGAATGAATTTCTTCAAGACAAACATACTCATTGTATTAAGATAATCATACAGATGCAAACAAGTTCTTACATGCAAACAATGTTTTGATAAACAAGAAAAATTACAAAAAGCAGAAATAAGTTAATAATCTGGGAAGACTTTCCATCTGGACTTGAATTACCGAAAACATCCTTCAAAAATCAAAGTCACCATCAATCGTGTTTACTCTTCGGCGCATGCTTGATTTGAACTTCAAAACCAACGTCCTTGAATGACAAGATACCACTTCTGACCAACTTCTGAACCTCAATCTTCAAAGCAAAGCAACCCTCCAAGTCATGCCCAGGAGCACCTTGATGAAAAGTACAAGCCAAATCAGCTTTGTAGTACCAACGTATCTTCTCAGGAACCTTCGGTGGAGGTCGGGTCTGAACCAAATTCCTCTGCATCAGGATAGGGAACAACTCTGTATAGGTAACTGGAACTGGATCAAACTGGGTTTTCCTTTGATTAGGAACTTGCTGATTCTGTTGATGAATAGGAGAAACATGATGATTCTGACAATGATTATTTCTTCCTCTGGTTCTCTTCTTGGAAAAGTTATTATCAAACTTCTTCACACCATTAGCTGAACTACCATCTTCATATGAACATCCCTTCCCCACATCTTCTTCTAGACGCACTCCCACATTCACCTTGTCAGGAAAGTCATTAGGTGCATTAACCATCACCTTCTCATGAGAGAATGATTTTAGATTTTCAGTGAATACTTTTATCATCGCTTCCTCCCTTCTAGAAGGATTGACTTGGGCGGCAACCAGAATTTCAACCAAACCAGTTAAGTGCTCCATACTAGCTTTCAAATTAGTCACCTCTCTGCGGAGTTCAGAAATCTCTTGCTTGATATTCTCCATTGTTCTCTTAGCAAGAGTGTTGTACTGGTGAGACCAAAGGAAAAATAAGACTCGGAAAAAGACATTTGAAAGTGAAACAAAAAATGTAGAATGATGTATGATATGCAAAAGAGAGTTTTTATTTGATTTTCAAGGAACTCAAGATATTAAGTTGTAAACATCAAAGTATGAAGATAGAAGATGAGTTTTAAATTGGATCAAAGCGTTGATCAAGTTATCATCAAGATCAATCATCTATTTTGGTGGATTAGGGTTTTCACCCTATCAACACCCAAGATCCATTGAGCTTGACGAAACTTGTGATGTTTACAAAGAAAGACCTCCAAATTCCTTGAAAGTCAAGTGAAAAGGGTTTTATGGATGCATGAATGCATGGCTATGCAACAACCACAAGCAAGGTCACAAATAAAGTCGAAAGGTTCAACGTCACGAGCATGGAGTCAAGGTAAAGAACATCCCCAAGGTATGTACTAACGGTTTAATCACACCTGTAGAACAAGGTTCTAAGAGTTCCCGGAGTCTACATTCCTCCTTCGGATATTACCAACGTCTTGATTACTCAATAATCGGCAATATTCTCAAGAGAAACTCATCCGAGCGTAGCATCGCGTAACAATTACTTTCGGATTACTCCGTTATAATCTTCGCGCTACACCTAAAAGGTCAAGATGGGTTAGGGTTCTACGGTTCCCAGCTTCTCTGGCTCCCAGGTCGAAAATAATAATGTCTTCCCGATTACTCGGTAAACAAATATTACGTTCAAAAGGGCCTTCCACTGAGTGGGGGATCTCATGCCTCCTTCTTCGGGATTACTCCCTCAAAGTTAACATGACTATACCGCCCGTCCTATTCCTAAGTGTAACTTAGTCCGGGTATAGGACTTGTCCTTTGTAAATATTATCAACACCCAAATATTCATAATATATACATATAATCAAACAATCAAATAATGATAAAAACAGATAAAACAAATTAGGCTTAACCCACTTAGGGATGGACCAGCAAGAGGTCAATCTTTCCCCAGCAGAGTCGCCAATTCTGTAGCGGTGAAAATCGGAGATCGAGCTATTAATTAACTCGACTCACAAAAAGCAAGAGTCGCCACCGCGCTTTATTATTTCCAAGGGAAAAGGGAAAAGAGCGAAATAAAACCGTAAAATATGCAATGTATAATAATACTTAAAAGTAATGAAAATACAATGCGTTTTGAAAAGAGATCGAGAGTTCGGGGGTTGGTTATACAATGGGAAGGTATTAGCACCCAATGCATCTGCGGTACTCCGCAGGAACCTTTTGAAATATCTGTTTTTTGGTTAGAAATTGTTTGTTTGATTAAAATGGTTCGTTTGGCTAAAAGATGGGCATGGACGATATTTTTGAAGATACGACGACTTAGTGTCGAAGTTTTGACTTAAAGGGTGTGAGTTTGAAATTAGGTTTTGAGGAGATTTAACTTAAGATTTACAAAATTAAAAATGTATGAAGGGGTTCACACAATCGTATTAGATATGTTCGGTGACATGAAGTCAACTGAGTTGAAAAATTTCCCTTGGAATTGAGCAAACAAGCGAAATAAGATAAACATCAAATTACAAATATTCGAAAATCCACAAGGAAATAAAACAAATAAATGTAACTAATCATCTAAAAAAGTTATTTGAACTAAATTGAAAAAATTAAGATTACTTGTTAAAATAATTCTAAACTAACTACAAATTCTAAGGCTATAAAAAAATTCTAAAATTACTAAATTAGATCTAAACTAAATTAACATTTTAAAATTAGTAAATTACATTTAAATTAAATCGAAATTATAAAGGAATTAAATTAAATCTAAATGAAAACTCTAAAATTATTAAATTAAAACCTAAATCAAATAGAACCTAAACCAAATAAAATTCTAAAGTTACTAAATTAAATTTAAAAAAATTCTAAAGTTATCAAGTTAAAATCTAAATCAAATAAAAATTCTAAAGTTATTAAAGCTCTAAAATTACTAAATTATATCTAAACTAATTTAAATATAAACTAAGTTAATTATAAAATCACTAAGTTATAAAATTAAAATTCTAAAGTTGTTAAGTTAAATCTAAACTAACTTAAATTTCTAAAGTTACTAAAATAAATCTAAGCTAACTAAAAATTCAAAGGTTATCAAAATAATTCTAAACCAACTAAAAATTCTAAGATTATTAAATAATTCTAAATTGATTCCATGGTTAAATTACTTAACTAAAACAATGCGATTACTGAATAATTTTTACTAACTAGACTAAATAACTAAAACAAATAAGTTAAGAAATTAAAATTAAACTAAAAAAAACAAATTTTTAACAAAGGGGTGCAAGCAGAGTATAAGGGGTATATTGGTTAGTAAACAAGGTGCTTGTGCATAGACTGAGGAAAGGGAGTGAAGTAAGAGTTACTGTTTTTGTTGTGTGTCCCTTTCAAGTCCCTTTGCACACATGTAGTATCTTGACCTGTTACTATATCTTGTCGCAAATGACATGGCCTCTCGGTTCCCTCTAAGGCCGGCATAGCTTCCCATGCAACTTGTTGCATTGTCTTCCCTGTGATATCTTCCAGTGGCATTAACTCATTTGCCTGCATTGAGAGTTTTTCAATACCAACCGAAGCCAAACACTGTAACACTTCCATTATTCCGGAACCCATTTCTGCAGGTACAACAACAGCATAAGCGTTTCTATGAACTTGAAGCATGTCTTTGGCAAGATCAATAGCTATAACACCTGCACTATAAAATCAAACCCCATTCTTCACCGCCTGAGCATGACACATTCCGCCACTATCAAAACAACCCATATTAGAACAAGAGCCAATTAACGGAACAAACGTATAACTGTTAGGAAATAACCCAATCCGCAAAGACCGAAAGTAAAAACCAACAGCTTCATGAGGAACATAGCTATTGCAATAAGAGTTTATCACAGTGTTAACAGAGAAAGTATCCAAAGGGTTATTAAAATGCTGAAAAACGAGAAAGGTGAAAGAAACGTCGCATAGATTAGAAGCACGGCTTAAAAGTGTGCGTGCTAAGAAGGGGTTGCGGTAAACGCTTGAAGTAATGAGAAGGGCTTGGATTTGAAGAAGGTGGCGAGTCAAGAGGAGGGTGTAAGAAGGGATTGAAAATGGAGGTTGGTGAGGAAAGAAGAAGAGGAAGGTGTTGTGGGTGTTGTTGCCACATGGGTTGAGGAAGAATCTAGTTTCTGTTGATTTAGTTTGGCATTAGCAGAATGCAATATAAGTTTGACTTCACCTGCGTGCCTGCCAGATTTGGTTTGAAGCGGCCAAGAAGAATCATCAAAACCTTGAGACAAAACCTTGTTCAATTGAACCTTTCCCGTTCCTATAAAACCATCGAATGTGAGGATATTGCTGTTCCAAACAACAACAGTGAATTCGCGAAGACCTTCGATCAGCGGCACAACGAACTTCTCTTGAAACACCGGATGTTTTCCACCGTCTGTGCAGGTTCTTGTCCGGAACTTGGTGGAAGCGTATTCAAGACAAACATAGGGATCTTGTCTTGAAATCCATTCAGTGTCCTTCAATTTCGCGCAAGAAACAACCGTCACCTCCAAAGGTTGCCCCCTGAATCCCCGTTGCCGTTCCAGAAGACATTCTTTTCGTTAGGAAAATGCTGAAACTTATAGAAATGCAGAAAATCTAGGCTACAAAGTAATCCTGGAAAGTAGAGCATATCTGCATCAGTATGGAGGTGGAGAGGAGGCAGCAGTGGTGTCTCACAAAGGTTGTTTGAAGGTGGTAAGAGAAAGATGCTGGTTTTGTTGTATTTTTTTTGTTGTCTTCCACAAAGAAAAAAGAGACTATTAAAGTAGTCAGATGAAGAGGAAAAATGATTTCAGCTTGCAATCATATCCGTCCATTATTTTCATTAATCCTGCACAACTTCTATCAACCAATTAGAAAAAAAGAATAGTTTAACAAAAACATTAATGATTAAAAATCCCTCTAAAAATAAAAATGACTTAAAAACCTGAAAGTGTACAAATTAATGCAATTTAAAATATATTTTTTGAATTTTTATGAATAAAAAATAAAGACCCAAGATGACCGAAAAATGATAAAAAACGGACGAAAATTTATCCGAAAAAATAAAATGAACACATTAAAATAATCTACATGTCACAAAGATTAAAGAAAAAATATCAAGAAGTCAAAAATCAAAAAATAAAATAATAATAAAAATATCATACTAAACAGACGTTTAAGGTTAAAACGAGACTTCGAACTGTACTGAAAAAAATAAAGCGAGCATACCGTCATAATCTACGCGAAGCGCAGATTCATAAAATGATCGGTAAAAGGTGAAAACTTGAAATATTTTCTCGCTACTTTCCCGCATAGTGTCGAATCGCTTTTAACAATCTGTCTATAAAACCGAAATATTTTTATTATCGACATATAAACAACTTGGAGCAATGCAAGAAATGAGTAAAGAGACAAAAATGCATGAAGTGAAATGTCAGGTATTTTTTAACTAAAAGACGATGCAAACTTTGATTCAAACTGACTTTTCTGGTCAACTTAAATACGACTAACGATGCAAAATGTGATGAATGAAGATATTTACTAATGATTGTGACCAAATGACAAAATATGGTATGAATGTGCGACTGAAGAAATTAAGGGCGAAATTAAGGATGCAATAGTTGTGCCTTGATGAATCGGTCCTCGAGAATCCATAATCAACCGTACTTCTGGCTTGAGAGACTCAAAACCTTAATTGAGGCGCGACACCTGATGCTCTGGATTCAGATATGTCTCTGCACATGAAACAAAAGAAGACATGAACATACACCTTGGTATGCGATTAGAAATTAGTGATACGTAGGCTAAAAATGTTCAAAACACTTGACAATCTTCGCATAGTCAAAGCTCGAAGGTGAGACGTTAAAACCGACCGTATTTAGTGACCTTGACTTTTGTATAAAAAATGCAAAAATGCAAGTGGGATCTTAGGTCAAAAATTGGGGTACAACATTTAGTCAAGCTATTTGTTTGGTTGATTTTTGCCTACAAAACCCTAAGTCTATCATGGCATATTTAGAAAGCTTTTAAATGCGAAAAATAAAATCCTAAATTATTACAACACAATTATGGGATGGGGGGTACAAATGTTCAAATGGGATATTTAGCAAGAAATTAAAATCTAAGCTATTACAATCCAAATTGGATATACAAATTATACAATAATTAAATAAAAATACAATAAATATGCAAGATGCAAAAAATGATTTTTATATGTATGTAAAAGGTGTTTTTTATGTGACAAATAAACAAAAATAAAAGGTTAATTTTTGGGTATTTTTATGTTTTTAGGGCAAAACCCTAATTTGCTAAATAAAATGTATTAATTATTTATTATATACAACATTTATTAATTATATACAAAAAATAAAAAAAGGAAGTATATTGTAAAAAAGTAATTTTTGAGGTCAAATATTAATAAAAATAAAAATGTAACATTTTTGTGTTTTTATCCTAAATATTCTAATAATTATATAAGTATTTATAATATTTACCAAATATATTAAATATGTACAAAAATAAAATATTTATTATTTACAAAAAAAGTATATTTTTAAGAAAATGTTTTCAAAAGATAAAAATAAAATAAAATCAGAAAATAAAAATGTATTTTGTATTATTTTTAGTATTTTACATAAAAAGTATATATGTTTATTTATATGTACAAATATCAAATTAAAACAAATAAATGTCTAATAAATACAAAAAAAGGTGAAAAAAATATTTTTTATGTTTTTTTATATTTTAACAAAAAAATAATAAGTCAGAAACAAAAAGAAAAAGTCAAAAAATGATAAAAATAAACACAATGGGCCAAGGGGGTGTGTGTGAAATAAAGTGGTGCAAATAGAAAAAGCAATCTCAGGCCCAGCCCAAGAGGGGTTGTCTTCAACCTCCAGCAACCTTCCAAACAAAAAACGCGTGCTTCCTGCTATCTCATGATTCTTTGACATTCAGCAAAAACTTACAACAACAATGTTATAGAGCATCTTGTCACGATTCCAAATATATAAAAAAGTCATTCTAACTCTCAGAAATGAGAGAGAATTTCTTCTCCCCCAATTCCTGACCTAGCTTTTTTCAGATATTCAGTTTCAAAATTCTCTCAGTGTACACAATATAAATGAAAAGTAACTATATGGATGGCTTCAGGGCTATGATTAGAACATGCTTTCTTCACAAACTTAAGCCTAACTATGCCTGGATTGAGAGATAGAAGTTCAAAAACTTACCTGTTCAGCTTGAATCGTGTATGACAATGGGGGCACTTTCAATGCAGTGTGAGGACTTGTACAGCTTGCTTGAAGTTCAGGGATGCTTCTCCAACCTCTAGCTTGCTTTGGAACTAGCTGAAACGAGCTATGGAAGTTAACCTGCACAACTGAAAAAAATGAAAATGGTGAAGTTGGTTAGAGGTGTTACAGTCTGTAGCTAGGGCTTGGGATAGCTTCAATGGATGGTAGGGAATGTGTATGAACTGGTTTGGATGAAAACGCACGAAGGAAATGAACTGTGGAGGTCAATCTGCAACAGGGACTCTATTTTGCAGAAAAAAGATGCTTTAATGGATGAGGAGGTATTGAGGGTTAAGGGCTCGTGTTTTAGGTCTGTTAGGGAGTATGGAATGTGTGGAGAAAGTTTGCTTAGGCTTGTGATTGCAGGAATGAGAGTTGTGTTCAATATGCAAGTTTCTTCTCTAATGTAAGCAAAAGTTGTCAAGTTGAGTTATAGGCCAAGGCAGGTCCCTCAAGCATGCTGCATAATCTCCCCTTGATCAGTGGGATTAGTCCATAAACTTGTGCCTAGAAGATCTGCATTGTACTTCTTTGATTTGTGTTTTGACATAAAGCCATGCTTTACAAGAATGGATAAAGTGCTTTTTCCAAATATGGCTTAATTCTTCATGTAATGACCAAATGCACAAAATAACATCTTGGCACAATGGACTGGCATTTAATTATTGAGTGTAAATGATATTAGAGGCCTGTAACTAGCTTGTGCAAGCTGATTTCAAAAATGCAAAGTGTATGAACATGCCTTTGGCCATGAATCAAAGTGACTTTTGCCCATATTGACAAATTCGATTCTCCCTAACCACAAGGGTGTTTGAGAAGTTCTTGGACAATTTGGAAAGCTTGGAATGTGTACTATAATCCATCTTTGTAATGCAAGTTGAAATTCCAAGTGGAAGCATGTGAAAAATGGCCATGAAGTTAGGCAAAAATCCTGCCTAGAATAGGTCAACAAATTTCCAAGTTAAGAATGTTTTGCACCCTTGTTCCAAAAATCATAACTTGAGCTACAAGCTTCTTTTGAGGAAACTTTGTGAATCAAAGTTGTAGATTTTGCAATGTACTACAACTTTCATGTTTTGAGTTAATTTGAATCCAAATATATCTTGATGAAAAAATGGGACAAAGTTAGGAAAAAATTAGGAATTTTCATAACTTAGAAAATTTCTAAGTTATGAAATTTCTTCATTTCAAACCCTAATTTGTAATTTTTGGTTTCTTGATGAAAAAGTTTCACAATTTGGCATGTTTTGATGAAAAATGAATCTTGACACTTGATTTTGACCAAAAAGTCAAAGTTTGACTTTTCAGTATACAGTCAAATTTGGCTCAGTTGACTGGAAAATTCATCTGTCAATCTTGTGCATTTGGGATCTTTTGAACTTGTTGAACATGTCAAGACAATTCCATTGAGTCATTGAGTCCATATGTGAGCTTGAATTGCCACTGGTTAGGTTAAATAGTCAAAAATTGCCTTTGTGCAGTCAAAAACCCTAAAAATGACCATTTTGCCCTTTTGGTGATCTGATCAAATTTCTTGTGGGATTGTGATCCAAACTTGACCAAATGGTTCATATAAGTTCATAATGTTGATGTGGGTCAAAAATCATGAGGTTTGACTGTCAATTGACCATAGTTGACTTTTTCCCCAATACAGTTGATTTCTAGGTCAACTGTCCAATTGACTGGGCAAAGATTGGAATCAAGGCTTGAAACTTGGTATGGATAAACTTGTGGGTCCAACATGAGGCATGAAAGTCATCTTAGTCATTTTAGGTCAAAACATCTTTGTGCAAACTCAAACCCTAATTTGGGTCAACAGTGCAAGGAGGAGTCTTGAGCAGAGCAAACCCTAACTGGATCTTGAGCTCCAAGGGTCTTGTGGTGAGAAAATATTGAGAAATAGGTGGGCAAATTTTGGGGTACAACACTGACCCACACTACTCTGTTGATATCTAAGATAGATCCAATCAAATACATCTTCGAGAAGACCGCACTCTTTGGAAGAATAGTGAGATGGAAGATGATCTTAATGGAACACGATATACAATATACAACCCAAAAAACAATCAAGGGAAGTGTATTGGCTGATCATTTGTCTCATCAGGCCGTGGATGACTACCAGTCCATGAATTTTGAGTTCTCGAACGAGAATATTATACTGGTGACTGACTATGGAGAACCTGGACCGAATGAAGGACCTGAAGAAGGATCCTGATGGACTATGGTTTTTGGCGGAGCCTCGAACGCACTCGGTAATGGCATTGGCACCGTAAT